TTTAATTTAAATAACCAATAAATTCTATAACCGCATGATAATAAAAGATATTAACATAAAATTACGGTCACTACATGTATCGAGTTAATATTTCTATGGGGAAAATTACATTTATGTCCCTAAACTTTACCACTAAAACGATTTATGTCCTCAAACTTTTTCATCCACGAAATATGTCCTTAAACTTGCCACTTTTTAATAATTCATGTTCTGCCGTCAACTTTGTCAGGTAACTTGGATGGAAATATCACGTGTGGCGCACGTGATGTTGATCTGACCATTAAAAGCCGATTTGGCTGACACCCCAAGATGATGTGGCCGGAAAAAAATGACGTGGAGTGACATGTGGTTCTCTCCCTCTGTTTAAATTTTAAAATTCCCAATTTGTCATTAAAATCCCCAATTCTCATTACCCCTATTTTGTTGAACCAAATGCAGAAACCCTACCCCAAATTCCTCGGACAAAGTATCGAATTGAGGTGAAATTCCGCAACAACAAGATTGCCCAACCCTAATTTCGCTAATTTCGAACAATTTTGGAACTGGAACATCACAATCGAGAAACGATTTTCGATATTGGTAAGTTTCTTCAAAGTTGATATCTTTGAATTTCGATTTTGGGAATTTTGAGGAATCATTCCTTCTCGACATTTTCTTCTCCTGAATCGCCCAAAGAAGGACTCCGTGCGCGGCACCTTCAATTTAACAACTGTTGCAATGTGAGACTTTGCATTTTTTATGGGTTTATGACTTCGAATTCCATATGGTTTCGACCATGAATGCAGATTTGATTGGAAATTTTGGGAGTAGGTTTACGCGATTGAAAGATATTTTGGAATTGGATGGCTAGGGTTTATGGGATGAAGAGTGGAGTGAGAATTGGGAATTGAAGGAGTGAGTTAGAAATTGGATGTCGACTGATTTGTGTGTCGGATCAACATTTGACTGCCATAAGTCACTCCACGTCATATTTAACAGCCATATCAACATCACTTGTGCCCCACATGATATTTCCGTCAAAGATGACTGATGAAATTGACAGCAAAACATAAATTGTTAAAAAGTGGCAAGTTGGAGGACATATTTCGTGGATGAAATAAATCGTTTTAGTTGTAAAGTTTAGGGACATAAAATATAATTTTCCCTATTTCTTTGTTTTGTTATTTTTATATTTACAATAACTTATTGAAATAATAATATTATATATACACAATGTCTAAATACATATAAGCTGCTAATTCTTTGTAGTACGATTAAAAGAGTGATTGAATTCCAAGAGCCCTTGAAAAGGGGTCGTCACATGCAAGATCTCGTACATGTTATGAATGTAAACCCTATCTCCAATGATTCCTTATGAACGTTCCAACTCTGAACGTTCCAACTCCATAAGTTTTGTTGTGCGATTGTGATGTTCCAAATGCACAGGTTCCAAACTATGAAATTATGATTGGGTGATTCTGGTGTTGCCTTACTTCACTTCGCCTCAATTGGAAGATTCAAAAATAAAATTTAGGGGTACAGTTTACGTTCATAAGGAATTATATGGAATTAGGGATTTGAGGATAGAAATAGGAGGAGAAAATAAGAGTATCACTCCACCTCATAAGTAGACTGTCAAATGGAAATAGGGATTTGGGTAAAGTCTATTCAAGCTCGGTTTTTATTGCCATATGTGCAATTCCGTCCAAGTTAACTGGGAAACTTTACGGCCTAACCAAAAAGTGCTAAAGAGTGGCAACTTTGAGGACTAAGATCGTGGCTGAAAAACTTGAAGGACTAAATTCATTTTAGGTGTCAAGTATAAGGACGAAAACTGTAATTATCCCCGTATATTAACTATGATATTTCTTCTAAAAACAAAATTATTATTTACAATTTTTTTTCTTTTTGACTCTTAATTGTTCGAGCATTTTTCTATTGTTTTTCCATTATTCAAGAGTGCATTTGGATTGAGGAATTTGAAATTCGCAAATGACTTCAAATAAGATGTTTTTGAAATTCACCACAATGAATAAAAAAATAACTTAGAGATAAGGGCTAAAAACTTAAAAATTTATTGACGAACTCGAATAATTTAATGAATTGTTATTATGAATTTTAAATTTGGCACAAATCTCCAAATGCAACCAAGTGTTTCCTTATTATTGTCTGAAATTTAGATGATCGATTACGTACCAATAAGAACCACGTAATCATCATCTAAAGTTCCGACAATGATACGAGCTTCTTATTGGTGATTTATCTTTGTTTTCTTGGAACATCTTCTTTTCCATAATTGGAGTTATATTTAGTTTCAGTTTTATCATTTCCTTGTTTTCTTGGCAAAAAGCCTAGGCTATACAATTTATTGATGAATATGATTTATGCGGTTTATTGTATTAACATAATTATAACATATCATGACTAGTTTTTATACATCATCTCATATGGCTTGTTTCATTCTTCATTGCATCACAATTTCATGACTTTTGTGTGGTGTACATGAACTTTCTTTAACATGATGCTAATAATAAATAAATGTGTATATTATTTTTAGGATAAATTACGGTCACTCCCTGAGGTAAGGTCAAATTATGAAGAAAAAAATCCCTTCTATTTGGGTAATAACAACCACCCATCAACTATGAATCTTCTTACACGTCCATCCTTATTGTATCAAATTCAACATAATGTTCTACATTCTGTCGAATATTCTCTAGTTTGTAATCATTTTGTGAAAAAGTGCAGTTTCTAATGCAACACAATCTGATATTTACAGGCTAAGAGACACATCTATGATCATTTTGTTTCAACATGTGAGGCTCGAATAGGATAAAACGGGTACAAATTGGAATATTTTCCACATTATCTAGAAGATTCTACACAATTTGACACCGCAAAGGTGGACGTGTAAGAAGATTCATAGTTAAGGGGTGGTTGTAATTACCCTAACATGAAGGATTTTTTCGTAATTTGACATTACCCAGAGGTGTGTAATTTACCCTTATTTTTATCATCGAATGAGTGTAGTCCATAAATTTAGTGTATATCCTTAGTATTTACAACTATTGCGAGAGATAAAAAAAATTATTTGTTTGTTGGTTTAACATTTTTCAAGATTGAAATTTGGAATAAATTGGTGGATAAACCCATTGAAGAATGAATATATTTTCACCAACTAAAGTATTGGGGGCATCACTACTCAAGGAAAAAAAACATCTATTCGTGATTGCTTAACATCATTCATAAATAAATGATTTGGAATAACTTCTTTGTTCCAGATATTATTGCCTTTATATTTGTTTTGGTGAATGATTTGAATGGAAGAATGTAAGAAATGCTCGTTTCTGTATTTGTTCAATTAAATATTAATCTTAATCAGCCGTTCATCACATCATAATAACATTCATCACATCATAATAACATTTACTGTTGGAGTAGGCTCTGCTACTTCAGTTTGCACGAACAATCTTAAATGTAATTTTCCTCTTTGACAATAGTTAAAGCATAATGCCGAAAAATAAAAAAATAGTGGTCACCCCCGAGGTAAGATTAAAGGGATAATTAGTGAAACCCCCCAACTCAATACTTATATTATGGTGGATATAAATATATATATATATATATATATATATATATATATATATATATATATATATATATATATATATATTTAATATTGTTATATATATATATATATATATATATATATATATATATATATATATATATATATATATATATATATAGAGTCGGATGCCGATCCCACAGGGAATGCTCAAATTATCTAATCCTAAGTACCAAATTCTAACAACTATGATTTTTATCCAGCCTACGCAAGGTTGTCAATTTAAATCAACTAAACAATTAAACTAATTAAGAAAGCAAATAATCACGAAAAAATATCAATATAAAAACGGACCTAGGATTTTATCTTCCCCCTATGCGATAATTCTTCACCCAATTAATCTTCTATCATGCAAGTTACGATTCTCGATTATTAACCCAAGACACGAAATTACTCATAACCCGTTGTCGCGTGTATTATAAGTCTATTATTCATAAACAATTCACTATATGTCTATGCAAACCTAGTATGTATAAACCATTAAATAACAAGTCTCATAAACGGCTACCTAAGGTATTATCTATATGTCTACGATAATACATGCAATTAACACACTCATCCGGTGAAAACTACTCGAAGGCTCTTCCCCTGTTCTAATTATTAAAACGATCTGTCGATTCAATTCTAACAATAACACATAGCAACATAAATTAGCTACGTTCATGCGCTAAATAAGATCAAAATAGAAGAAATAATCGAAGAATTTAAACTTGCATAATAGTAGAAAAATAGGTTCGAATCACCACATAGGGTTCCAACAAAATCCTCGATAAAAAACTTAGCTACTCATGTTCTCTACGAAAAGCATAATAAAAATACGAAAGTTCATAAAAAGCGAAAAATAAAAGTAAAGGGAGAACTATGATGAAGATTCGTCAAGTCTTCGTCTTCGTTGCTCCGTTCTCTTACTCCTAGATTGCGTGTAGAAAGATAGATTCCTAATTGTGTGCTTTTTGGCCTTTAAATAGGGTGCAAAAATATAAGAGGGCGGTTTCCTTGTGTAATTAAACTTCCTTCACTGCGCCACCTCGTGAACCCGGACGCCCGTGCGAGAAATAGCACTCAAATCCGGACGGCCATCCGGTCTTTAATTCTTCAGAGTTTTGATTTTTTTACTTTTGCCCCAATTTGTCTCCGAAATTGCAGTTTTTACCCCATAAGTTGCCAATTCTTCGATTTGTACCTAAAATACAAATAATAACCATTTTAAGCACCAATTATCGTTAAAACACACCAAAAGCTCCAATTAAAAGGTGCAATTAAGTGTAAAAATATACACTTAACACCCCCCCAACAGTGGCGGATCCAGCATAAAAACTTAGGGTATGCCGCATAGAAAAAAAATTTAAATAATAATAATGTTTCAATTACAACTCAGATTAAAAATTTATTTCTAGTCCAAGCGTAAATGCATTCTTCTCTTACTCATGGCTTGAAAGCGCTTGATAATATCTAGATCATCGACTGTAATAAACACTTCTTTTTCCACAAATGCCACCAAGCAATCATTAAGCCATGAATTTGCCATTCGATTTCTCAACTCATTCTACACATATTTCATGCCAGAAAATACTCGCTCAACACTTGCCGTGGCCACCGGTAATGACAAAGCTAGCTTCAAAAGTGTGTACACCAATCCAAATGTCTTGTGTTTTTTTGTACGAACAAGAGTCCTACATAGATCCGAAATACCCTTCAACTTGGAAAAATTATCGTCCATCTTGACACACTCAATATAAGTCTCAAGTTGGCTAGACAACTCCTTATCACTAACATCCTCAAAGTCATTTGGGTAGAATCTTGCCAACCTCACAAGTGATTTAATGTCAAAATCTTGAAAAGAAGAACAAGGATTCAAACATGCTACACAATTCAACAACTCAACATTTTCCGGTGTAAATCGATCACCCAACTCTTTCATTACAAAATCTATGACATGTAAAAGCAATCATTCTTGAAATAATTGAGATTTGTCAATAACGGAGCTAGTCTTTTGGATTTATTACCTTTCACGTACCTTGACTCCATGTTGGGCACATCAATTTCAAGATTACCACAAGAATCCACCACTTTTTCATAAAATGCTTCCCACCCATTATCTCTCATTTGTTGAAGCTTTTTCTTACTTACTTGGACAAGTTGCATGGCGGTCACAATATCTTGATCTCCCTTTTGTAATGCTTGAGACAAATCATTTGTCAACCCCCCAAACTTGAACTTTTGCTTGTCCTCAAGTAAAATCAATTTATGAGCACAAAACTCGACTATACATCTCATTACATAGATCGATTGATCAACTTCGCGTTTTCAGGACTTGCAATTATGATGACAATTCCTAGGTATTCGTAAGCTTAACATTCAACGGAACTTAGTCACTCACTATTACCAAAAACTACAATCATACAATTGCTTCAAGTATCCAATATTTGCAAGTTAAAGATAGAAAGAATTTATACTTACATGCATATATTTGACTCCAAAATGCTCACCAAATTATTCTACTCAACTAATATTGAGCATTAAGCTATTGGGATCATTGGGACTTTGTGGCTTTCAATTGTTAGGCTCTTTGGTCCGAGGTAGGTAATATGGGTATGTGTGGCTAATTTTCTTGAATTGAGGTGATTACGCCAAAATTTGAAAGATAGGCGTTTGAAACAATGAATTCACCTCTAAGGACTTTAATAAACTCGATTCTCAAAAGTTCAAACGTCTACACTTTTGCCTTTGAGGCAATGGATCGAGCTTTCAACACAATTCAACAACTAGTCCTTATTTCTCCATTCTAATCTCTTCTTCTTCTTCTTCTTCTTTTTTTTTTTTTTTTTTAATTATCGAAGAAGAAGAAAGACCTTATAAGAATTTTCGACCGAACTCCAAGGGATAATTGTTCAAAAATCTCCATTTTTCTACCTTCTACATATTGGCTAAAAGAAGAACACCTTTTCTCCGAGTCTCAAATCAAGGTTCTAAGGATAAATTCGATAAAAAGGTAGGCTCGAAAGGCTCAAACGGGTCAAAGAAGGCCCAAATCATATCCCAAACAACTTACTACCCAATACTTCGTATCATAAATGTCCTAAGGTGAGTTTTAAAACCGAACAAAGCATGATTTAGCACAAATAATTTCCAAATTTAAAATACCAAACATTCAACCAAAGCAATGCACAAGGTGTGATTCCTAGCAATAATTCACTTCTACGTCCCGTTGAATCGAAAGCTAAACGAATATCTACTCCTTATCAACATAAAACATGTAATCTCATCATCAAACATTGACCATCTCCCATCATCATAATTCATCGATGTGTCGATCCAAATTTTTTTATTTCAAAGCAAATAATAAAACGAAAATAATTAAACGACAACTAAAACAAAAACTAAAGCATGCAAACTAACAAACAAGTAAAACACAAATTAGGCGCACATAAAAGAAAACAAATAGTTAACCACCCCCAAACTTAAAATTCACATTGCCCTCAATGTGATTCGCCCGGAGTTTAAGGATAGAAAACACCTGTTTAAGCGTCTGAACCATCATCGGGTTGCTCACCAATCCCACCGTGCTCATGAGCATTACCATCCTCCTCGTCCTCCAATAGCTCGGGTACCGGCTCAAGAATCGGTGCGGGCAATGGTTCCGGTTCGGCGCACTCGGGAGTACCGCAAACCAAATGGCGCACAATGGCTTGGAGCATCTTCCCCGACCACCGTTGAAGGGATTCGATTGTGCTCACCTTGTGCTCCACCGTGGCAAGCCGATTTCTAGTAATGACCAACTCCCGCTCCATTCTTCTTTGAAAATGGCGGTCCGAACTTGTGCTTGGACCCTCGGGTGGAGCTAATTGTTGGCTATCGACTGGTTGCTCGCCATCATGGATGGGTGCCTTAAATTGTCGGGCCGCAAGGTTACTCATCGGCTTCCGAGTTAGTGTGAGAATATCCGTCGTTTTGGTTGGGACCTTCGCCTTCTTGTATAGGCCGGTAACGAGGCAAGGTAAATAGAACCCTTTGGAGTTGTTGATCATGGAGATCCAAAAACGGTCGGACATGATTTCGCCAATATTGATCGGTGTGCCCTTTAGAATGTAATATGCAAGAACACACCATTCGGGGTCCATGTGAGTCCACGAGCCGGTGGGGATGAGGTTGGCGCATATGAAAGTAAGGCACGCCTTGCCTATTTGGTGGATGCATTTCCACTCCAACTCGTATGCCTCCTCGGTTGAGAATTCGGACCAAATTGGGGGGCCATCGCACAAAACTTCGCCGAGTTGATCTCTTGTTACCGCGAGTTGCATTTGTTCCCAATTGAATGGCTCATGTCGGAGGTTATAGAAGGAGTTGATGGCCTTGGCACTCCAATCGACCCTCTTCCCTCGAACCGTGCTCGTCTTCCTATCCAAAGTTAGGAGAATACGGGTGTTGGCGTATAACTCGCGGACCAAAGATAGATTGATCGACTCCGTCGGTTCCAATAATGATTGCCACCCTCGTCGTAGGAATTCTTGATGCAACGGTGCAAATTGCGGAAGGGTGACTTCATATGCGCGCTCCGTCACAAGTTTCTTCACTTTTTGTTTTTCGAAACGAACCTTGGCGCCTTCGACACAAAAAGCATCGTCATCGGGGGTTGGAATTTGATCGGCTTTCTTGCCCTTCCCCTTGCCTTTTGAAGTGCCTTCGCCTTGTGAGGTGCCCTCCCCGTCACGTCCTCGTTTCCCCATGATGTGAGAATGCCTTGTGGAAGGGATTTGAAGTGAATTGGTGTGCAAAATTTCCCCCAAACTTGACTCGGGCAAATCGTCGAACACCTTGTGGGCGGTCCTTGTTGAATGGGTTTTTAGAGAAATTTGCACCCTTCTTGAATCCTCCCTGCACAAATCAACAACAAACCACCGTGTTTGAGTATTATGTGTGTGTAGTCGGTGAATTTGAGGCGAAATAATTAAAAGAAAAGAGAAAATTTCGAAGGGAGGGGGTTAGGGTTCGAAGTGGGGGAGAGAGGGGATTTGAAATTGTGAAAATTGTGGTGTGTAAACCCTTTTTTAATCTGCCCGTTTTTTATCTCGGACGGCCGTGCGAGAATTCAGTGTAAATTCCGCACGGCCGCGCCCCTTCTCAATTTTGGGCAGTAGCCTCTTTTTTCTCGGACAGCCGTGGGAGAATTAGGTGTAAAATCCGCACGGCCGCGCCCCTTCTCAATTTTGGGCAGTAGCCTCTCCAAATCTCGCACGGCTGTTGGCCGAAAAACTACACGCAAGTGCACGTATCGAACAAGTAATATAGTAGACAATTATGTCCGGATATCGAACCCACAGGGAATATTTAATTACTTAATCCTAGACGCTAAATTCTACCAATTGTTATCAAGCCCACCCTACACAGTCGAATTTTAGAAAGAATTAACTAAATTAAACTAAATTAAAAGCAAGCAAAAACAAGAAAGCAATTTAAAACAAAGATTTAATCAAGATAAGCAACCCTAGGATTTTATTCTTCCCCGTATGTGATTATTACTCCCCCAATTCCTTCAATTATGCAAGCAATTAACCCGAATTATTAACTTGAGATGCTAAAATAATCATAACCCGCTTCCGCGTGTATTACGATTCTAATACTCTAGATTCAATTACTATATTCCTATGCAATTAATTCTAGAACACAGCATTAAGCACAAATCTCAATAATGGCTACCTAAGAGATTAACTATATTCCTATGTTAATACCACAAAGGCTCTTCTACCACAGTTCTAATTATCAATCCGATCTTCCGATTCATGCGATTAACAGTAACATAAAAGCACATAAAGTGGCCAGTTTCATGAACTTAATAAAACAAGTAGAAGAAATAATTCGGAATTAAAACTTGCATAAAATCATAGAATTGGGTTTATAAATCCCACATAGGGTTCCAAATAAAAATCCTAGAAATAAAGACTTAGCTACTCGTGATTCTTATGATAAAGAAAATAAAAATAAATAAATTAAATAAGAAAAACTATGCTTGAGTCTTCGTTGATCTTCGTTCCTCGCTTTTTGTGGTGCCAAATTTCGTGCTTATGGTGTAGGGACTTGTTGCTTTTATAGGCTTTTCTTGATAAGGAAGTAGTAGAAACCTAATAGGAATCAATTTCCGCCACTTTCCTCCATCAGGCTTTGTTCTTCAATTTTCGCCATGTTGGAGTCCGAATTTTGGAATGTTGCGTAAATAAGAATTGTATCCCTTGACATTAGCTTTCCAATGCCGCCAAAATCAGCTAATTTGGAGTTCGTATAAGAGAGATATGCTCGTAACGGTGGACACTACCAAAGCTGTGGCGAGATTGCTTCTTCCAATTCGATTTATTTCCTTATTTGCAACTTTTTCCTTTCTTTTTGATCTTTTTTCCTTCATGGACACCTAATTCTCGTTTTCACCTATAAAAAACAAAATCAATCAATTAAAAGCACAAATATAATTAAATCTAAACAAAAGATCCACGTAAAGTAAACGTATTGAGCGTAAAATTTACACTCAACACACCCCCAAACTTGAACTTTTGCTTGTCCTCAAGCAAAATCTAATCGTAAGCAAATAACTCAACTACCGCATCTCATCACATAGATTAATGACCAACTTCACGTTTTCAGAACTTGTAATTATAATGAAAATTCTTAGGCATTCGCAAGCTCAAAATTCAAAAGCACTTAGTCACTTACCATAGCAAAAAACCACAAATCATGCAATTGCTTCAAGCATCCAATATTTAAAAATTAAAGATAGAAAAAATGTATGCTTACATGCATATGTTTGACTCCAAATACTCACCAAATTATTCTACACTACTAATATCGAACATCAAGCTATTGGGATCATTGGGGCTTTGTGGCTTCCAATTGTTAGGCTCTTTGGTTCGAGGTAGGAAACATGGGTATATATGGCTATTATTCTTGAATTGAGGTGATTACGCCAAAATTTGAAAGATAGGCGTTTGAAACAATGAATTCACCTCTAAGGACTTTAATAAACTCGATTCTCAAAAGTTCAAAAGTCTCCACTTTTGCTTTTGAGGCAATGGATCGAGCTTTCAAAAATAATTTCAACAACTAGTCC